TAAAATAGATTTTTGACATTTTATTCTCTACCTAGTTTGAACGAGGATTGTGGGAGTGCCCTTGTTTTTTGAACTCTGCATTTCTCAGGTATCAAAGCCCCACTATCCAACTATGTCATGTTGAATTTTTCGAAAAAATTCAGCCATTATCTTACGAGATATAAGAAAAAAACCAAAAAGTCTCAAACTTTTTCCCCACAGGTTAATATTGAAATTGGAAGGAACAAAATTATTTCAAATTGTTGGTCAAATGATGCAGACAATTGGATAGCCTTGGATTGAATCATGAAATTAGCTAAATATGTTGAGCTTTGATCAACAACAACAACCTAAAAATAGTCAACATGTCTGGCAACGAATCTGGTTAAACTTGAATTATCGTTTGCTTTCAATTCATAATCTTATGTAATTTGGTTAAATTGTTGGTTTTACTCTTCAATAACATGTAAATGGTGAAAAATATTGCCATTAAATTGGATGAGTAAATGGTGAGCTACAATAACAATTAGTGAAATTATGAATTCAAGGATAAATGATGATTGTTATGTTGTGTGATGTTTGAAATGAAAACAAGTAAATTTGTGAAAAACAGGTAAAGAGTGTTGGTTAATTAAGAGGATCATGAGCATCTTTCAGGCATCCTAATGAGCTACCCTGAAGGTTAACCACTAAATTGTTTACCATCTTGAACCAAATTTGATATAAATAGTTGAATGGATTGGATAATAAAAGGTGAGAAAAGGCAATGAAAATTGAAAGGTTTGGAGGATGGGTAAAGAGTAACCAGGATAAGGTCAAAGTTGAACATTGAATTGACTTTTCTCATGTTTTGTTACAAACAAAACTCTTATTTTCAAAAGTCAACTTTGGGTTTTGTTTGGCAACTGATTATTGGCAAAATGACAAGAGATTCAACTTTAATTGCTATATCAATAACCCATAAACTAATTAATCCTTAATTTGGCTTTTTATTGGGTTTTATTGGGTTTGCCTTGTTATTGTTTCGGGATCAAAATTGGTGTTTAAGGTGATTGGGTTGACAATGAAATGATCAATAAATGAGGAAAAAGCACTTTTACTTACCTTGAATGTAAACTTTAACTTTACCATATTTAACTGTTTCTATCTCTTTCATTACAACAGGTACAACAATTGGTTGATCGTTGGTTGACGGTTCAGTTGTGGGTTCATTTGTTGAACTTGTGGTTGTTGTTATTGTTGACTCTTCGGGAAGAGCACCCAATTGTGTTGAAGCCATAATCAATTTGGGTTAATCAAGTGGACAGTTTAATCAGTTTACTTTTGTTTCCAATAGAAATGGTCACTTTGGTCTTTGATTTGCGGGAAATTTGATTGAATGCCGAGTTGATTTGTGATTCTCTGAGTTAACAGTTAATGTTAATGTTCACAAGAGAAAGCAAAAAAGGTAAAGAAAAAGGTGAAAATAAAAGAAAACGCAAATTGATTCGTAAACTGGGAACAATAATCCAAAATTGATGTGCCTATTAATTAGTAGTTATACATGGATAATGTTGATGGGTAAAGATTGAGCTTTAATGTGTCAGAATATTATGATCATTTTCTGGGCAAAAAATTCTGAAAACAACCTATGTTGATCTTTTTTTTGCCTCTTCGTTTCTCTCACTCTTTCTCTCCTCGAGATTGGAGAGAAGCCAACACCCTGCTCACAATGGCAACTATTAATGGAATCGCGCACAAAATCGATCCACATCAACATGTACATTCACATTTGAATCAACATTAACATCATCAAGACATCATTTGACTCTTAGAAATTAAATCATTTTATTGAAGACAATTTAAAAACATTTAGGTAAATTCAGGCTATTGAACACTCTTTTCCACTTTTTTGTAATGCATCCAAACATTGCTGTTGAGTAACTGAATCGTCAACTGTCAGGGTTACACTTTTTTCTGGAACATTAGACTCTAGATTTAATAATTTATCTCCCAGAGATCGATCCAAACTACGTTTAATAGCATTGACACATCCTTCACAGGTAATCTCGGCATTAAATTTGAATACAGCCATGGTTGGAAAAAGGTAAACTTTGATCTTGATGAAGATTAAAAAAAGAAGTAAACAAAAATGAATTATGTAATGGAAATGAAAAGGAAAACATGAAACGAAGCCAATTTTTCAACTGGAGTTTAGTTTGTTAGTTGAAAGATTACTAGTAAAGCCAACTTACCAACTGTATGCCACAGGAAAAGGTAAAAAAAATCAAATGACAATCAACTCAAAATTCAAAATTAAATCAACCTAAACCAAAACTAAAGATGTAGTGATTAATGCTAAGTTTGTATAGATATTAACCGTGGATGAATCTACCACAGTATAAGTAACTGGTTATTTCTTGGTTACAATTTTCAGCGCCTAAACTGAAAAATTGGAAGCTACAACTTACAGGATAAATCTGTTGACATTGTTCTGAATGGAGTAACCAAGGAGTAACTGGTTATTTTTATTAATGGTTGATATTAAACTCGAAGTAACCGTTTCATGATAACTTTCCCTTTCATTCTAACTATGTAACCGGTTACCAGTAAGCATTACATCTCTAACCAGAAAACGAAAACACAATTATCTAACTGTTAACAGACGTTAACTCCATCTGTCGATTGAAATAGCAGATTGATCTATAGCCTCTGAACTTATCTTGAAATGATGCAAATATAATAGATTTTAATATTAAGAAATATTAATAGAAAGTAGTTGACGAAATATTCTTTGCATTCTGAGAAGCCTCAAACTGTGATAACCAAAATGTGATCATGAAAAAGATGTAACATAAAATAAACAATTAAAGGAATATATTTTTCTGGTCATACACTCTTTTAACCGCCTTTGTACCCAAGAGATTAAACCATTGGTAAACAAAATTTTGAATAGGTCCTTCCGAATTCATCCGATTGTGGAATCGGTGATGGGACATCACGAGAAGTACATATTCGTCAGACAATTTTTTGGACTTTTTGAGTTTGAAATATTCTAAATGAACCTAGATCAGCCTTTCGTTTCGGAAGTTCTCAGTTTAAAAGTTACAAAGAATGAAAGGAGACCTACGCTTTTGACTCACAAACCGAGGTCGAAAATAGGGAAAAACTCGCGCATTCCCTCAATCACTGACCTTATCTTTCAACGCCTATTTTTATATAATGAGGAATGATGGTATAATTGTATAATTGTATAATATGATATAATTGTGTAATTGTATAATTGTGATATTGTTGTGTACCAGAATGGTTGAAGATGTAAAAAGAAGGAGAACTAAGTAACTTAAGGTTATCTTATCTTTATTAAGCAGCTTAAGGGATGAGAGGAATACATGCTTAAGATTTACAGAGGTTTAAATACTAGTGTTTGGTGTTCTAGTCACCAACCAATAGAAAATGAGCAAGGAGTCCTCGTTGAGTACAACACTTGCCCGGCCCGTCTTAAAAACTGACCACAGTTTTTGTTTTACATCCATTGAACTTATTAACTCTGACCAATTATTGTGTCTACATATTTTTCGTCCTGGTTTCATTTTACCTTCACCTTTGTCGTATTATTCATTATGGTAAGTTTTCTTTTAAGTTTGGTGATAAATGATTGATTGATGTGTCTTTTCTTTGTTTCTTTCGTTGTTAGATGGCCCGTACCAAGCAAACTCGCCACCGTGCTCCTTCTTCTAGCTTAGTAGCAGCTTCTGGATTACCCTTGGCTTTACGTGAGGATGTGAATTTTGGCAATATTGATGAGGAGCATGCTGCCGGTTTGGGAGCGACCGCTGAAGAACAAGTATGTGTTGATGAATCATCCCTAATTCCAATGGAAGAAGAAGAAAGTTTAGAGGCAGAGTCAGCACTTGATGACGAAGAGCCTGATGACGACGAACTCGAGAGTGAAGGTGCCGAAGTCTCGCCTGAGGAGTGGGCAAAAGAGCCAACAGAAGAAGAATTGACAAAGTTCGCGACTATGCCCGTAGCTAATTATGATTTCAAATGTGTTTTTGGATCAGGCTACCTGCCTGGGCGGCCTGGTGTTATGAAAAATTTTCGATACGAATTGGCGCACTACAATACTCTAAATCCACCTTCGCAAGTAACAGGGTACACTGGGCCAATACCCAAAGGATTCACGCAAAATATATCAAAGTTACAAGATTGTGGGAACCCTCGTCATTTTATAGATGATATCACAGAAAAATATCGTTGTCGATGGTGTGGGCACAACTTTTCTAAAAGCTCTAATAAAGTTCGACACGAGAAAGGTTGCGGTATGATAGGTGCAACTGGGCACAAATGTGACATTCATTGTCACATTGATGCCTGATGATGATGATATTTTCTTATCATTTGTTTATTTTAAGCTTCTGGAATAATTAATTGTTCTAAGAAAATTTTGCTTTCGTTTTTTTCATTTTCATTACATCTTCAGCTTAATTCAAAGTTTCAATCTTGAAGAGAAATGGAAAACTCACGATTCAGACACTCAAAGCAATTAAATTTGTAACTCGTAAAGGATTTTATTGTTCTAATTGAGCCATTTGATACTCGAAACAAGAAACCAACATTATCAACTGACTCAATTTACTTACACCTGATTGTTCTTGCTTTTCCCTCTCACAATTTTGTTTCAATCAAATGAAGGCTAAAATGTTTGCAAAGTTATCAACAGTTGGAGCAATTTTACTGAATCAAATCACATTTATTACAAGAACCATGCTTGGTTGGCAATGGTTGATAAACTTTTGGTCAATAAACTGCAATTTTTTTGGTAACATAATTGCATCCTCATTCACTGTTCATATTCAACCTTTCCATCAAGATTTTTCCCCGCATTCATAATTGCTAATGTCAAATGTGACCTTCATTTGTCTTAGAGGTCAAATAACGAGGTGACCTTGAATGACCTTGAGCGTTCGAATTTATTATTGATCTATCTACGGTAGCTCATGATTCTAATCTGAAGTCTGAAGCATCAGCTGCTGAGGAGTTATAATTGCAAAGCACCGATATCTGCATTAAATGAATACTTCTGCGCCGATCTACCTTCCAGCTTTATTAAAACACCAACTAAAATCAAGTATCGGTATTTTGACACAAAATTTTAAAGTACAATATTATTTAATCAAAACAATCTAGTGACAAAGATTGTAAGAAAATCTTTATGAAACATTGCCACTAGATGGAGACAGTAGAAAAAATTTCTTCATCGAGTGCAGGTTTTTTTGTGAAATTTTAGACAACGAAAGTAGTCGAATTTGTTAAACTATTGATTGACGCTGATTAAATGGTTAGTCAATTGGCATTAATCGGATTACATTTTCTACTGGTAAAGTCGAAGCCACATAGTCGACAAGTTAAAGAAATGATACTTGCACAACAACGCTAAAGTAATGGGAAGGAAATAAACAGAAAACTTTATCAAACGATAATTTTTATTTGTTATTTTCGTGAATCAATAATATTTTATGCGAGTTTTTTGATGTTAATCAACTCAATTTTTGTATTAGTCAAGCTAGAGGTTGAAAACTAAGGATGGAAAAGTATCGACCGAATCGAAATGGAAGCGATTCGGAAACTGAAGACTTGAATTTTCATCATATCAACAGAAAGAGTTTGACCGAATGGCAATAACGTCCATTAACCAGCATTTGCTGAGAAATATCCAGCAAACTGATTTTCACTGTTCTTGCCAAACAATTCTAAAGTATATTCCATAAGTGCGTTTTTTATGAAAAAATTAAAAGGTTTACAAGTGCGGAAAACAACCAATCAAAATTAAAATCAAAATTTTGGATTGTTGTAAAAAAGGAAATAAATTCACAATGAAGCGACATATGAATCCACAAAAATGAAGGGAGCATCGAGACCACTTGATTGTAAAATAAGAAAAATGAAAGAAAATCTCAATAGATTCGGCATTTGGGAAAAATCAAAATTTGAACCAATTTTAATAACAAATTATTTATAATTTCGCAATCAATTGTAATTAATTAATAATCAACTTTCCGATTCTCGATTATTCAGACACGATAGATTCAAACCAAAAGCAGCCTTTTCTTCAACCTATTTAAAGGCAATTCTAATTTGCAGAATTAATCAATAAAATAATTTATTGTAATATTATATTTAGTGTATTGATTGTATTCATCCATCTTCATTCAATTGCTGAATCTCAAAACAGGTTAGTTTGAAATAAAGCTTCTAACATTGAATTTCTAAACGGTTTTCCTATCTTTCACTAGGTCAGACGATCGTTTGCCAAAATCAGAGCGTTAATGACGTTAGTTGTTATAATTGCGATAATTGTGCATTCACTTTTGTTTAATTTGAGTCTGAAATAGACCTCAAATTAGAGGCAATCGCTCGCACAAACCACGCTTTCGACTGGCTCAGTTTGAAAGCGGAGTAAACTTAGCAGTAAAAAGTCACAGAACTTTATTGATTAATCAATAATCTGCAATGAATTCGTAAAATGCTCCAATTTCTGTAAAATTAAAATTGCAAGGTCAATCTTAAGACGATTGTAATTGTTCCGATAAGACATTGATACAAATGGTATTGTACTTCAAAACTTGACTAGTTTATTTGAGACACTGGATTTCGACTTCTCCGTTTTAGGTATACTTTTCATCACAACAGGCAAACTTTTTGATTCCATACTTCTTACAGCAATTTTTGTTGATTTTTTATTTTTAGTGCTCTGCAAACAACTTAGACTGGAGTTTTGACTTTTTGAAACATCCAATTGTTTGGATACAGATGGAATTGAACTTCGAGATTTAACCAGTTTACTTGATGGTTCCTTTTGAATCGTCGAGTCTTTCGTAGTTTGCATTGTAGATGATATTATTTGTGATTTAACACGCGTTATAGTTATAGCTTCAGCGAATGCTTTCTTCTTTTTTGAATCAGAAAATTTTCTTACTTTTCTTGTTGAAACTTTTTTCGGATCTTTTGACTGTTGCTTTATAAACCTCACATAAACTATCGATGAAATTAAGAATAAACCTGAAAATAATAAAATGAATGTCGGCAAATAATCAACTTCGGGCGCAACAATATCAACCCTTTCAGTTGATAGAGCACTTATACTTATAGCATCAGCATATTTATCATTTAGTATACTAACACTGATCTTGAATTTACCCGATTCAGATAAGCGCATAGAGCAATTGAAGATTGATCCGTTGTGATTTGGTTTTATGTTGGTGCAATGATTTTGTGGACCAGCTTTGATATCTAAGTACTCTTGAGTGTCATCAAGTACTAGTGGTCTATCGAGTTCAATTGTTAGAGTTTCAGGCGATGCAGAGTTGAACATTAAAGGCGATATTTGAGCTATTTTGAAACAGTAATTAATAGTTTGTGTAACACTGTTTATGTCCTTTTTACATATTGAATTGGACCAAATACAGTCCATAATCACACCATACATCAAACAATGAGTACAACTTTTGAATTCGCCACAAAAATCGACCAATTTGTAAAGTATTATTTTATTGGTATTTTTTGTAACTTGAA